ATTTTGCTTTTGATGATAAAGGAAGATGTGATATTGATTTATTTTTTTATTTTAAACCCTAATGACGGAAATAAGTGGTAGTTTGCAAAAAATCGAGGGGTAAAATCAGGTACCACTATCTGAACAGTGGTTTTTATCAAATCCAGACCTGGCTTTTTGAAAAAGTGAGGGGTTGATTTGCAATAAATTGAGGACTTGAATTTTTTACAATCATAACCTAAACTTTTATTAAGAGTCAACTTAGCAGAATGGAATGGTTGGAAAAATGACCAAGACCAAATGAATCAACAAATGAAAATGCGAGGTCTTTGAGGTTAGTAATTGGCTCCGTGAAAGTGTGAGTAAATTTCCCATCCACGTAATTATCCAAAATAGCAGATACAGTATTGTTCTTCTCAATAAAACTTGTGATTATTACACGTCTAAAATATTAGTTGCAATTTAGTTATGAAACCACTTACTTTCCACTGCTAGTAAAAGCATATTGAGATTGATTTAAGTGAAAAATCCATTGATTTGACACTAACAATGTTCCCTGAAACAGTCTTGACCACCAAATCTGAAAGGGATGTATTAATACGGAAATCCTAAAGATATCAATAAATTAATTAATTTAAATACTTACATGATTCTTATCGATTAGTCGTAGAATTAAATACCTTTGCCATTTTGCCAAAGTTGAGCACATATTTCAACAGAGCATCTTTAGTTTTACATAATAAATGATCTTTGGGAAGCAATTCTCCTAATAATTTCAATAACAATCCAATCTTTGATGTTGCAATCTCGAAAAATACAATAATAAAGAGAATAATTGTTATTGCTGTAACAACATTCACCGCCTACCCCTTATACAATGATTCGTCAACAATACTACTACTATTGTCATTTAAATCAAATCCTCCCAATTCTCCAAAACTGAAACTCTCTTGCTCATGAAAAATTACTTCTTGTTGTCCAGATTTCAAACTTGATTCATCTATTTCCAATTTCCAATTTCCAGTTAATAATTGTTCCTTTGTTACATTTTTGCTAATATCTTCATAGTCTCTTTTACAACCTTCTTGATACGTTTTCGTTCTCTGTATGTTTTTGTGTATTGAATGTTTTTCTTCTTAACGCTTTTTGATTCATTTTTAATGTTTCATAAATGATAGACTTCTTAATTTAGAAATTCTTCTTTCCAATAAAAGTGCTTTCTGTAGATGGTGTTGGAGCCAAGATTAGATTTGAAGAGGTTGTTATTTCAGATAAAATCAATGAAGGAGAACACCTTGACATTCAGTTGGTAGAGGATATTTGCTTGACTTTTCAAAATGAGTGTCTCTTCAGTGAAATCAAGGACAAGATCAAAGACTATTTGAGTTCAGCTTTGAAAAAGAGAAGAGTCGAATTGAAGTTGAATAGTGTTTGTGACTTGTAAATTGGTGTGATGAGTGTGATGTGACAATTCTAAAAATTGAATAAACCAAATTTGTGTGCTATGGTGTGTTAGCCATTTAGGAATTGAATTTTGGTGGTCTGTTGTTTTTCGGAATGAGGTAGTTGTTTTTCAAAAGTAGCCGCCCTCTATTCTTTTTTCGAAAAATCAACTCCCGAATTTAATAAAACTTAATAGTTAAATACAGGGTACAATTTATGAAAAACACCAACCCTGTTGTTTAGCTGTGTGATTCTGATGAAATGTGGTAGAAGATTTGTGTCAAAGTAGGACCTAAATTCATTTTTTTTTTGCTCAGGTTGGTGGTTTTTTGCGGTTCAGGGGTAAATCCCGTCATTAGGGAAATAAATTTTAATAAAAATAAATTAAAAAAATTTCCAATACAATGTTCGCGTGCTACAAACAGCTTCATCCTCCAACAGCTGTGTCATTCTGTTTGAAGGCACGATTTACATCAGCTAATGATGAAAATCTGATCATTGTTAAAAACAACATTATGGAGGTTTATTTAATCAAACCGAATACATCCAATATTGTTCTTGTAAAAGTTTTTGAATTATTTGGAGTAATTGATTCTATAATTGCTGTTTGTCTTCAGGGTATGAAAAAGGAAATGCTTTTAATTAACTTTGAAGATGAAGCAAAAGTATCTGTTGTGGAGTTTGATGAGAAGAGGAGTGATCTTAAAACTTTATCTTTGCATTATCTCGAAGATGACTTTTTGAGAGAAGGTAAAGCTAGATTCTTTCACAATCAACCAATTATTTTGGATCCACAAAATAGATTTGCTACAGTAATTATTTGCGACTCTAAATTAGT